TTATTAAGGCTTTAATAAGGACTTAATAAGGATTTAATAAGGCTTTAATAAGGCTTTAATAAGGCTTTAATAAGGATTTAATAAGGCTTTAATAAGGATTTAATAAGGATTTAATAAGGCTTTAATAAGGATTTAATAAGGATTTATTAAGGCTTTAATAAGGATTTAATAAGGATTTATTAAGGATTTAATAAGGATTTAATAAGGATTTAATAAGGATTTATTAAGGCTTTAATAAGGATTTAATAAGGCTTTAATAAGGATTTAATAAGGATTTATTAAGGCTTTAATAAGGATTTAATAAGGATTTATTAAGGCTTTAATAAGGCTTTAATAAGGATTTATTAAGGCTTTAATAAGGATTTATTAAGGATTTATTAAGGATTTAATAAAGATTTAATAAGGATTTAATAAGGATTTATTAAGGCTTTAATAAGGATTTATTAAGGCTTTAATAAGGATTTAATAAGGCTTTAATAAGGATTTAATAAAGATTTAATAAGGATTTATTAAGGCTTTAATAAGGATTTAATAAGGATTTATTATGGCTTTAATAAGGATTTAATAAGGATTTAATAAGGATTTAATAAGGCTTTAATAAGCATTTAATAAGGCTTTAATAAGGATTTAATAAGGATTTATTAAGGCTTTAATAAGGATTTAATAAGGATTTATTAAGGCTTTAATAAGGATTTATTAAGGATTTATTAAGGATTTAATAAAGATTTAATAAGGATTTATTAAGGCTTTAATAAGGCTTTAATAAGGATTTAATAAAGATTTAATAAGGATTTATTAAGGCTTTAATAAGGATTTAATAAGGATTTATTAAGGATTTATTAAAGCTTTAATAAGGATTTATTAAGGCTTTAATAAGGATTTAATAAGGATTTATTAAGGCTTTAATAAGGATTTATTAAGGCTTTAATAAGGATTTAATAAGGCTTTAATAAGGATTTAATAAGGATTTAATAAGGATTTATTAAAGCTTTAATAAGGATTTATTAAGGCTTTAATAAGGATTTAATAAGGATTTATTAAGGCTTTAATAAGGATTTATTAAGGCTTTAATAAGGATTTATTAAGGCTTTAATAAGGATTTATTAAGGATTTAATAAGGATTTATTAAGGCTTTAATAAGGATTTATTAAGGCTTTATTCAGGCTTTAATAAGGATTTAATAAGGATTTATTAAGGCTTTAATAAGGATTTATTAAGGCTTTATTAAGGCTTTAATAAGGATTTAATAAGGATTTATTAAGTCTTTAATAAGGATTTATTAAGGCTTTATTAAGGCTTTAATAAGGATTTAATTCCAAGCTGACTGCAAATACATCTGCACTTGTGCACTGATCATTAGCAGTTTCTTTCAGCCACTGCGCATGCGCAGAACTATTGAATTTCGTATCAAATTTCAATTTAAGACAAGTCTCTTTACAGTTGAAGACTTGTTTTTTTTTTTTTTACTTTTATTGAAGAAAATGTGATTTTGTTACAATTTTACAAATTCACTAAAAAATCAGGGGAAAAAAAACAAGTTTATAAAATTCAATGAAACTATGCACAGACATGAACAATGATAGAATAATCAATATGACAATTTTTTTCAATGTATCTTAAAAAATAAATGAGTTATCCACAACATGACTCATACCTTTAATTCAGGGAAATTTGAGGATTTGTTTCACTAAAAGTACAATAAAAAAATTGTATGCATTGTATCTAAAAAATAAAAATTGTCATATTGTGTAACAAAATCACACCTTGTGGTAGATAAAATTTAAAAAAAAAAACTTTTTTTAAAACTTTATTATGTTTTTTGTCTTTGAATTGTCATACTATAGTATACATTTAATTTGTGTGACTGAAATTCAATTATCTAAACAAGGGTCTAAAGGTAAAATATGTAAAAATGTAAAATAAAACTTAATTGCCACTTTTGTTACTTGTTTAAAAAAACTTATTGAACGTTTTTTAAAAGGTAAACATAATATTGCAATTGACAAGACTGTTATTTTAGAGTAACATCAACTTGTTTTATTTAAAATATTAGCTCTATTAAACGATTAATTAGTACAGTAACGGCGTGAGGCAGTTTTAACTGAAATAGAAAATTAGATAAAAACATATTGAGTTCTTGTTCGATGAAAATTTACTAATTTTTTTTCCAAGTCTAGTGACATCCCTAATTAAAGTACCTCTTCCGGTTATCAAAGGTCATTCAAAAATTTAAAATAATCTAAATATAAGATCCTATACTTTTATATAAAATTTCTTTTATTTAAATGAAACAGTACTCAAGATAAAGTGTTCACATGGAAATTATCCAGTTAGCGGAAATCGTTCAAAAGTTGAATGCATTCTACTAGTTATTGACTTTTGAAAAAACAGTTACTGGAAATCATTCAAAAGTTGATACAGATCTACAAATTTGATATAAAATTATATATGAAATTTCGTCAACTTAACTGAAATGTTGCTCAAGTTATCGTGTTTACATGCATCACAGACATACATGCAAAATTGCTAAACCAAGTTTTTCTATTCCCGAAGGATGTAAAACGTCAAACTTTGTCAAAAACTCTATTTCAATTTTTTTGGACGATTATGGTGCATCTTTTTTGTTCCTTATATGATAGAGATGATTAAAATGGCAAAAACTGTCAAAACCTTTTTTATTCAGTACGATTATAATACTTCATCAACACTCTGTAGACGAGAAAATAAAATGTTTCTTTTTACAAGCTTTTAGTTAACTTGCTTCCTCATTCTTTTGTCATCGACACTGCCTGGTCAAATTTTGACCTCTTCTTACAGACCTATTCGTTTCAAACTTGACAATGTTATCTGACATCAAATTAGAAGAAGAAAGTTAAATAAAAGCTAGTCAAACTTGACAATGTTATCTGACATCAAATTAGAAGAAGAAAGTTAAATAAAAGCTAGTCAAACTTGACAATGTTATCTGACATCAAATTAGAAGAAGTTAAATAAAAGCTAGTCAAACTTGACAATGTTATCTGACATCAAATTAGAAGAAGTTAAATAAAAGCTAGTCAAACTTGACAATGTTATCTGACATCAAATTAGAAGAAGTTAAATAAAAGCTAGTCAAACTTGACAATGTTATCTGACATCAAATTAGAAGAAGTTAAATAAAAGCTAGTCAAACTTGACAATGTTATCTGACATCAAATTAGAAGAAGTTAAATAAAAGCTTGTCAAACTTGACAATGTTATCTGACATCAAATTAGAAGAAGAAAGTTAAATAAAAGCTAGTCAAACTTGACAATGTTATCTGACATCAAATTAGAAGAAGTTAAATAAAAGCTAGTCAAACTTGACAATGTTATCTGACATCAAATTAGAAGAAGTTAAATAAAAGCTAGTCAAACTTGACAATGTTATCTGACATCAAATTAGAAGAAGTTAAATAAAAGCTAGTCAAACTTGACAATGTTATCTGACATCAAATTAGAAGAAGTTAAATAAAAGCTAGTCAAACTTGACAATGTTATCTGACATCAAATTAGAAGAAGACAAGTTAAATAAAAGCTAGTCAAACTTGACAATGTTATCTGACATCAAATTAGGAGAAGAAAGTTAAAGCTAGTCAAACTTGACAATGCTATCTGACATCAAATTAGAAGAAGTTAAATAAAAGCTAGTCAAACTTGACAATGTTATCTGACATCAAATTAGAAGAAGTTAAATAAAAGCTAGTCAAACTTGACAATGCTATCTGACATCAAATTAGAAGAAGAAAGTTAAATAAAAGCTAGTCAAACTTGACAATATTATCTGACATCAAATTAGAAGAAGTTAAATAAAAGCTAGTCAAACTTGACAATGCTATCTGACATCAAATTAGAAGAAGTTAAATAAAAGCTAGTCAAACTTGACAATGTTATCTGACATCAAATTAGAAGAAGTTAAATAAAAGCTAGTCAAACTTGACAATGTTATCTGACATCAAATTAGAAGAAGTTAAATAAAAGCTAGTCAAACTTGACAATGTTATCTGACATCAAATTAGAAGAAGTTAAATAAAAGCTAGTCAAACTTGACAATGCTATCTGACATCAAATTAGAAGAAGAAAGTTAAATAAAAGCTAGTCAAACTTGACAATGTTATCTGACATCAAATTAGAAGAAGTTAAATAAAAGCTAGTCAAACTTGACAATGCTATCTGACATCAAATTAGAAGAAGTTAAATAAAAGCTAGTCAAACTTGACAATGCTATCTGACATCAAATTAGAAGAAGAAAGTTAAAGCTAGTCAAACTTGACAATGTTATCTGACATCAAATTAGAAGAAGTTAAATAAAAGCTAGTCAAACTTGACAATGTTATCTGACATCAAATTAGAAGAAGTTAAATAAAAGCTAGTCAAACTTGACAATGTTATCTGACATCAAATTAGAAGAAGTTAAATAAAAGCTAGTCAAACTTGACAATGTTATCTGACATCAAATTAGAAGAAGTTAAATAAAAGCTAGTCAAACTTGACAATGTTATCTGACATCAAATTAGAAGAAGTTAAATGAAAGCTAGTCAAACTTGACAATGTTATCTGACATCAAATTAGAAGAAGTTAAATAAAAGCTAGTCAAACTTGACAATGCTATCTGACATCAAATTAGAAGAAGTTAAATAAAAGCTAGTCAAACTTGACAATGCTATCTGACATCAAATTAGAAGAAGTTAAATAAAAGCTAGTCAAACTTGACAATGTTATCTGACATCAAATTAGAAGAAGTTAAATAAAAGCTAGTCAAACTTGACAATGTTATCTGACATCAAATTAGAAGAAGAAAGTTAAAGCTAGTCAAACTTGACAATGTTATCTGACATCAAATTAGAAGAAGAAAGTTAAATAAAAGCTAGTAAAATATTGCCATCCCAAATACCGGCACTCCCGATTTGTTTTCTGTTGAGCTGTATTATTTCAATAGAAAAGTACTTGTCTGTCAATGCCTAATTCCAATGTTTCCACAGCCTAATGGGAATGGGTTTACTGATGCTCATGGTCTGGTTACCATACGGATGAAGCCAGATGAGAAGGGAAGATTTGGTTTCAATGTCAAGGTAATTAATATCAAGCTCAGATGGTTGAACATCATTTTTACACACCGCACCACTTCCAACCACACACTTTACCACTTCCACAAACCCTAACCACATACATCCACTATTTTACCAATTACAATAACCCTAACCACATACATCCACTATTTTACCACCTACACTAACCCTACCCACATACATCCACTATTTTACCACCTACACTAACCCTAACCACATACATCCACTATTTTACCAATTACAATAACCCTAACCACATACATCCACTATTTTACCACCTACACTAACCCTAACCACATACATCCACTATTTTACCACCTACACTAACCCTAACCACATACATCCACTATTTTACCACCTACACTAACCCTAACCACACACATCCACTATTTTACCACCTACACTAACCTTAACCACATACATCCACTATTTTACCACCTAAACTAACCCTAACCACATACATCCACTATTTTACCACCTACACTTACATTACTTAACCACTTCCATCCTAACACCTAAAAATTTACACCTATCTACCCACCATATCACCTCCACCCATCCACCCACCAGATCACCTCCACCCACCCACCCACCATATCACCTCCACCCACCCACCCACCATATCACCTCCACCCACCCACCCACCATATCACCTCCACCCACCCACCATATCACCTCCACCCACCCACCATATCACCTCCACCCACCCACCCACCATATCACCTCCACCCACCCACCATATCACCTCCACTCACCCACCCACCATATCACCTCCACCCACCCACCATATCACCTCCACCCACCCACCATATCACCTCCACCCACCCACCCACCATATCACCTCCACCCACCCACCATATCACCACCACCCACCCACCATTTCACCTCCACCCACCCACCATATCACCACCACCCACCCACCATATCACCTCCACCCACCCACCATATCACCTCCACCCACCCACCCACCATATCACCTCCACCCACCCACCCACCATATCACCTCCACCCACCCACCATATCACCTCCACCCACCCACCATATCACCTCCACCCACCCACCATATCACCTCCACCCACCCACCATATCACCTCCACCCACCCACCATATCACCTCCACCCACCCACCATATCACCTCCACCCACCATATCACCTCTACCCACCCACCCACCATATCACCTCCACCCACCCACCCACCATATCACCTCCACCCACCAACCCACCATATCACCTCCACCCACCCACCCACCATATCACCTCCACCCACCCACCCACCATATCACCTCCACCCACCCACCCACCATATCACCTCCACCCACCCACCATATCACCTCCACCCACCCACCCACCATATCACCACCACCCACCCACCATATCACCTCAACCCACCCACCCACCATATCACCTCAACCCACCCACCCACCATATCACCTCCACCCACCCACCCACCATATCACCTCCACCCACCCACCCACCATATCACCTCCACCCACCCACCATATCACCTCCACCCACCCACCATATCACCTCCACACACCCACCCACCATATCACCTCCACCCACCCACCCACCATATCACCTCCACACACCCACCATATCACCTCCACCCACCCACCATATCACCTCCACCCACCCACCATATCACCTCCACCCACCCACCATATCACCTCCACACACCCACCACATTGGTTTCAATGTCAAGGTAATTAATAACAAGCTCAGATGGTTGAACATCATTTTTACACACCGTACCACTTTCACCCACACACTCTACCACTTCCACTAACCCTAACCACATACATCCACTATTTTACCACCTACACTAACCCTAACCACACACATTCACTATTTTACCACCTACACTAACCCTAACCACATACATCCACTATTTTACCACCTACACTAACCCTAACCACATACATCCACTATTTTACCACCTACACTAACCCTAACCACACCATATCACCTTCACCCACCCACCCACCATATCACCTCCACCCACCCACCATATCACCTCCACCCCCCCACATCTCCACCTCCACCCACCCACCCTATCACCTCCACCCACCCCACCATATCCCCTCCCCCACCCACCATATTACCTCCACCCACCCACCATATCACCTCCACCCACCCACCCACCATATCACCTCCACCCACCCACCCACCATATCACCTCCACCAACCCACCCACCATATCACCTCCACCCACCCACCATATCATCTCCACCCACCCACCATATCACCTCCACCCACCCACCATATCACCTCCACCCACCCACCATATCACCTCCACCCACCCACCCACCATATCACCACCACCCACCCACCATATCACCTCAACCCACCCACCCACCATATCAGCTCAACCCACCCACCCACCATATCACCTCCACCCACCCACCCACCATATCACCTCCACCCACCCACCCACCATATCACCTCCACCCACCCACCATATCACCTCCACCCACCCACCATATCACCTCCACACACCCACCCACCATATCACCTCCACCCACCCACCCACCATATCACCTCCACACACCCACCATATCACCTCCACCCACCCACCATATCACCTCCACCCACCCACCATATCACCTCCACCCACCCACCATATCACCTCCACCCACCCACCATATCACCTCCACACACCCACCACATTGGTTTCAATGTCAAGGTAATTAATAACAAGCTCAGATGGTTGAACATCATTTTTACACACCGTACCACTTTCACCCACACACTCTACCACTTCCACTAACCCTAACCACATACATCCACTATTTTACCACCTACACTAACCCTAACCACACACATTCACTATTTTACCACCTACACTAACCCTAACCACATACATCCACTATTTTACCACCTACACTAACCCTAACCACATACATCCACTATTTTACCACCTACACTAACCCTAACCACACCATATCACCTTCACCCACCCACCCACCATATCACCTCCACCCACCCACCATATCACCTCCACCCACCCACCATATCACCTCCACCCACCCACCATATTACCTCCACCCACCCACCATATCACCACCACCCACCCACCATATTACCTCCACCCACCCACCATATCACCTCCACCCACCCACCCACCATATCACCTCCACCCACCCACCCACCATATCACCTCCACCAACCCACCCACCATATCACCTCCACCCACCCACCATATCATCTCCACCCACCCACCATATCACCTCCACCCACCCACCATATCACCACCACCCACCCACCATATCACCATCACCCACCCACCATATCACCTCCACCCACCCACCATATCACCTCCACCCACCCACCATATCACCACCACCCACCCACCATATCACCTCCACCCACCCACCATATCACCTCCACCCACCCACCATATCACCTCCACCACCCACCCACCATATCACCTCCACCCACCCACCCACCCACCATATCACCTCCACCCACCCACCATATCACCTCCACCCACCCACCCACCATATCACCTCCACCCACCCACCATATCACCTCCACCCACCCACCCACCATATCACCTCCACCCACCCACCATATCACCTCCACCCACCCACCCACCATATCACCTCCACCCACCCTACTATTTCACCACCACCACCTCACTACTAACCCTATGTCCTGTGTTTTTATTTAGGGTGGCCATGATCAAGGAATGCCCATCATTGTGTCACGTGTAGCACCTAATACACCTGCTGATCTGGCTATACCAAGATTGAATGAGGGGGACCAGGTTCTTCTCATTAATGGTCGGGATGTTTCTCAACATACACATGAGCAGGTCAGCCTTACCATATCCTAACCCTAACCCTAGGGGTAGAGCACTCATTTTAGTCTTTCAAATTTTCAAGTTGTCAGAGTGTTTATAGTGGTTCAAATTTTCAGGTTGTCATGTTCATCAAGGCATCTAGAGAGACTCATTCAGGGGAGCTGGCACTGGTCATCAGGCCAAATGGTAAGTATTAGGGCAATTGTGTCAAGGAGAAGTGATAGGGTCATCAGCTATTTGATGCAGTTGTTCACATCTGCTAGCCCAGGGGTCGGCAACCTTTTGAGACGGAAGAGCCAAAAGTTACAATTTACAAAATTTCCCACTGTTTAAAGAGCCACATTTTTATTTCAATATTTTATTATATATTAGGACTACGTAAATACATGTGATTTGTTATTTAAAATAAATTGTTTTAAATATGAAATAATATTTATTCGTATAAAAACATACACATGTTTCGCCAGAATAATAAACTTATTTATCAAATATTATGAAAACAGGACTATCCCAATCCACTTTAGAAGCTGTTAACTTTTTTTTTCTTTCTTTACGGATATCACTGGCTCAGGAGGTGTCTGCCATTAGCAAAGCAGGCCTCAACACGGCTAACTTCGACTAACTGGCTCGAATATCGGTTTGATAAAAATGTATCGGTCGCTTTTGTCCTTTGGCTCTCACCGGGCTCATCTTCCCCCCCCCCCCCCCCCCCCCCACACTGAACACAGGGTACTTGTACCACACCGTCCAGTACCCGGGTCAACAGTAGGAAGCTAATAGCTAAAAAAAAACCTACGTCGCTCACGTCAAATTAATGCATACTGACAGTCAGAGTAATGCATTAATAACATTCCCCATTTAAAAATATTCAAAAAAGTCGGCACTTGGGCAGTGGCAAGCATTGGATTGTTGCCACGGGGCTGTTAGGCTGGGCCTGGTGCCCAAGCGGCTGTCAGCTGTCCGTATACTTTCTACTGCACATTATACTCTTAATGTTCTCTGATAAGTGTTTTAATTCTGTTCGAAGTTGTTTTTCTATACATTATGATATTTGATATGAGTTTTGAAAATGAAATAATATAACTATTAATATTTGTGCAAGGAGCTGGAGAGCCGCATCTTGACAGCAAAAGAGCCGCATGCGGCTCGCGAGCCGCAGGTTACCGACCCCTGTGCTAGTCCATGGCTTTTTGATGCAGTTGTTCAGATTTGCTAGACCACAGCTATTTGATGCAGAGGCGTAGCGACCCCCCTCCCACCCGGCAACCTGCCCAAAATATATATATATATATATATATATATATATATATATATATATATATATATATATATATATATATATATATATATATATATATATATATATATATATATATATATATATATATATATATATATATGTATGTATGTATATATATGTGCGTATACACATGTGCGTATACACATGTGCTTATGTATATATGTGTGCATATGTATATATGTGAGCATATGTGTATATGTGTGTGTATATGTGTGTGTATATATGTGTGTGTATGTGTGTGTATATTTGTGTGTATATGTGTGTGTATGTGTGTGTATATGTATGTGTATATGTATATATATGTGTATGTGTATATGTATATATATGTGTATATGTATATATGTATATATATGTATGTATATATATATATATGTATGTATGTATGTATATGTATGTGTATGTATGTATATATATGTATGTATGTATGTATATATGTGTATATATATGTATGTATATATGTGTATATATATGTATATATATATGTATATATATATATGTATATATATATATATATATATATACACTAGACGGCCAGGCAACTAATACTTGGTTGCATCGTGTGTTTTATTTTATCCTATTGTATGTACCTAATAATATCTATTTGGAGCAATGGTTTTTAACCTGGGTTTGTCCTAACCCAAGAGGTCAAGACATACATCCGAGTCATATGATTCACGTCAGTCTTGGGGCTTTGGCCAAGGTCAAGACATACATCCGAGTCATACGATTCACGATCGGATCTTGTCAGTGTGGACGATAAAACTATTTAGAAGGGTTCAGTGAATGCACTGGTTGGGATCTCCAAAGAGGTTAACAACCACTGGTTTAGAGTGTAGGTAACAACCACTGGTTTAGAGTGTAGGTAACAACCACTGGTTTAGAGTGTAGGTAACAACCACTGGTTTAGAGTGTAGGTAACAACCACTGGTTTAGAGTGTAGGTAACAACCACTGGTTTAGAGTGTAGGTAACAACCACTGGTTTAGAGTGTAGGTAACAACCACTGGTTTAGAGTGTAGGTAACAACCACTGGTTTAGAGTGTAGGTAACAACCACTGGTTTAGAGTGTAGGTAACAACCACTGGTTTAGAGTGTAGGTAACAACCACTGGTTTAGAGTGTAGGTAACAACCACTGGTTTAGAGTGTAGGTAACAACCACTGGTTTAGAGTGTAGGTAACAACCACTGGTTTAGAGTGTAGGTAACAACCACTGGTTTAGAGTGTAGGTAACAACCACTGGTTTAGAGTGTAGTTTGTTGAAGTTTGCTATTTTACTGATCGGATAGCAATACAAGAACTTATATATATATATATATATATATATATATATATATATATATATATATATATATATATATATAATTCTCCTCTTCGAGCCGTTAGAAAACAAGCTGCAAACGCTCTCCCTACCTCCCCACCCCTACATGGTTTTAGTGAGCTGTGTTTACTCTAAATGTTTACAAGCAGAGCCAACGATTTTAAACGTAGGGGGGGGGGGAAGGAAGGGGGGGGGGGTTATGGTCCTTAACGAGCTACTTATAGTGTTTTAAAGAAATATTTTCAGTGTCAGCGTTGGTACTGTCGAATTCACAAATTATGAATTATTGAAAATTAGAAAAAAACTAAATAGCGGCGTATGTTATGCCGCGGGCCGGCTCGTATATATATAATTCTCTTCTGCGATCAGTTAGAAAACAAGCTGCAAGCGCGCCTTTGCAGTCCCCTTTCTTCCTCTCTATCACTATCACTACCACCCCCACCCCACCCCCACATGATCTGGTGAGCGGTGTTCACTCTGTTTACATTTTACAATCATAGAGACGGGTTTGGTGACGGCTATTATGGGCAGATAATTTAGTTTGAAACGATTTTAAACTTAGAGGAGGTAACTAAGAGGAGACTGCTTTCACGTGGGGGTGGGGGGTTAGTGTTTTTAAGCAAATATTTTCAATGGCAGCATTGGTACTGTCGAATTCACAAATTATAAATTACTGAAAAGTAGAAAACAAACAACTAAATAGCGGCGTATGATACGCAGCGGGTCGGCTCGTGCTAATTATTTCTCCTACATACAGTGAACCAGGCAAGATGTAATGCAATCAAGTAAACGTTTCTGATCTCTCACGTTGCTTGAGAGAATCGTAAGAACTGTACAAAGAACCAATCGCGCCATTTCTTATCAAAACTTGCTAGTGAAATCGAACATTACACATGAATACAATTAGTTTCTATTCTAAGTGTTCAACAATTTATTTACTCATCATTCCAGTCTAAATCCTTGCCATTTACCTTGGTGAAAAAGCGCACCCACCCACCACCTGTTTCGTATTTTAGCCCAAATGGTTTCTTTCCTAAGTGTTAAAAGAATTATCTACTCACCAGTCCAGCACAAATCCTTGCTATTTTTGTTAATGAAAAAGTGCCTTCCACCCCCAACCCACTATCTTGGACAAAGTTGGTAGAGCGGTTTTTAACATCACTAATACTTTTTTTCATGTTTCTTTTCTAAGTGATAAACGTTATCTACTCCCCAATCTAGCAACAGTTAGAAAGAGGTTTTTTGCCGTTCACTATTTCTTAAGGGTATATGTTTTAAAGGCTGTTAATTTTCTTAACTTTGACTGTTTGTAATTAAAAACTGCAGCTTAAAATGTATGTTTAAAAAAATGTTCTACCCCTTTTGGCGCCCCCACCCCATAGCTACGCCTCTGATTTGATGCAGTCCATCAAGTTAAGTCTGCTAGGGGTCATCCATAAATGACGTCACGCTTTTTTGGACGATTTTTACCTCCCCTCCGTCACACGTCGTCACAAAAAGCCAGCCCCCCCCCCCCTAAAATGACGTCACACCTCAACCTACAACCCCCCTCAAAATTGCAGTTGAATTTTCTTAAAACATCGATATTTTTCTAAAATCTTGTCTAAACTATTACAATTTATTAAAACAGTTATCTAAAATGCGAAATAACGTCTAAAATTCGTTTTCTAACATTGCTTTTTTATAATGCAAAAAATGTGACGTCGCAACATCTGAACCCCCCCCCCCCCCTCCCCCTCATCACACATCGTCACAAAATTACGGACCCCCCTCCCCCCTACGAGTGTGATGTCATTTATGGATGACCCCCTAGTAATTCTATGTGCCTGACATCAATAAATGTGATTACAATTCAAGATGTGCCTGACATAAATAAATGTGATTACAATTCAAGATGTGCCTGACACAGTGGCGTAGCGAGGTCGGGTGTCACCCGGTGCGGCGCTTAGTGGTGTCACCCCCCCCCCCCCCCCAGAGGCATAGAGACCCTTCCCAGTGACAAACTTTCAAACTTTCGATTTGCACCCCCCCCCCCTCAAGTTTTCGATTTGCACCCCCCCCCCCTCAAACTTTCGATTTGCACCCCCCCCCCCTCAAGTTTTTCTCTATATATTTTGCTATTTTTTGCCTTGGTGTCACCCCCCTAAATGGTGTCACCCGGTGCGGTCCGCACCCCCCCCCCCCCTCGCTACGCCCCTGGCCTGACATCAATAAATGTGATTACAATTCAAGATGTGACTGACATCAATAAATGTGATTAAAATTCAAGATGTGTCTGACATCAATAAATGTGATTACAATTCAAGATGTGACTGACATCAATAAATGTGATTAAAATTCAAGATGTGACTGACATCAATAAATGTGATTACAATTCAAGATGTGCCTGACATCAATAAATGTGATTACAAGATGTGCCTGAGTTTATGTATCAATGTAGTGATAGACTCAAGCTGTATATTTTATTTAGATTTTTGACTATTGGTAATTTAGCTTTTTTTTTCAAGTGGTGACCTACGGACTTTTTGTTCTTAAAGTACTCACCTATAGCTCAAATTTTGAAGCTATTGACTAGTTGTTTCAATGTTTCTCCTAGGCTATGTTGGAGAAGACGAATCAGACGAGCCAGACTTTACGTACATCCCAGAAACACATCAGATCGCTTCCTCAACATCCAGTGCTAATACCCTTGAATCCTCATTGATGCTCCTACAGGAAAGTTTAGAAAGTGGTGCTGCTATTGCACAGTTTGAGGTGAATTTTATATCTCATCACTTGTCTGTTACCTCCCACAATATGTCAACTTCTGGGCTGATGGGCAACATACATAAGACAGGTGGGTGAGCAACATACATAAGACAGGTGGGTGAGCAACATAGACAGGTGGGTGAGCAACATACATAAGACAGGTGGGTGAGCTACGTAGACAGGTGGGTGAGCTACATACATAAGACAGGTGGGTGAGCAACATACATAAGACAGGTGGGTGAGCTACATAGACAGGTGGGTGAGCTACATAGACAGGTGGGTGAGCAACATACATAAGACAGGTGGGTGAGCTACATACATAAGACAGGTGGGTGAGCTACATACATAAGACAGGTGGGTGAGCAACATACATAAGACAGGTGGGTGAGCTACATAGACAGGTGGGTGAGCTACATAGACAGGTGGGTGAGCAACATACATAAGACAGGTGGGTGAGCTACATACATAAGACAGGTGGGTGAGCAACATACATAAGACAGGTGGGTGAGCTACATAGACAGGTGGGTGAGCTACATAGACAGGTGGGTGAGCAACATAGACAGGTGGGTGAGCAACATAGACAGGTGGGTGAGCTACATAAGACAGGTGGGTGAGCTACATACATAAGACAGGTGGGTGAGCTACATACATAAGACAGGTGGGTGAGCAACATAGACAGGTGGGTGAGCAACATACATAAGACAGGTGGGTGAGCTACATACATAAGACATGTGGGTGAGCAACATAGACAGGTGGGTGAGCAACATAGACAGGTGGGTGAGCAACATAAACAGGTGGGTGAGCTACATACATAAGACAGGTGGGTGAGCTACATAGACAGGTGGGTGAGCAACATACATAAGACAGGTGGGTGAGCAACATACATAAGACAGGTGGGTGAGCTACATAGACAGGTGGGTGAGCTACATACATAAGACAGGTGGGTGAGCTACATAGACAGGTGGGTGAGCAACATACATAAGACAGGTGGGTGAGCTACATACATAAGACAGGTGGGTGAGCTACATACATAAGACATGTGGGTGAGCAACATAGACAGGTGGGTGAGCAACATAGACAGGTGGGTGAGCAACATAGACAGGTGGGTGAGCAACATAGACAGGTGGGTGAGCTACATACATAAGACAGGTGGGTGAGCTACATACATAAGACAGGTGGGTGAGCTACATACATAAGACAGGTGGGTGAGCTACATACATAAGACAGGTGGGTGAGCTACATACATAAGACATGTGGGTGAGCAACATAGACAGGTGGGTGAGCAACATAGACAGGTGGGTGAGCAACATAGACAGGTGGGTGAGCTACATACATAAGACAGGTGGGTGAGCTACATACATAGACAGGTGGGTGAGCAACATACATAAGACAGGTAGGTGAGCTACATAGACAGGTGGGTGAGCTACATAGACAGGTGGGTGAGCAACATAGACAGGTGGGTGAGCAACATAGACAGGTGGGTGAGCTACATACATAAGACAGGTGGGTGAGCTACATAGACAGGTGGGTGAGCAACATACATAAGACAGGTGGGTGAGCAACATAGACAGGTGGGTGAGCTACATAGACAGGTGGGTGAGCTACATAGACAGGTGGGTGAGCAACATAGACAGGTGGGTGAGCAACATACATAAGACAGGTGGGTGAGCAACATAGACAGGTGGGTGAGCAACATAGACAGGTGGGTGAGCAACATACATAAGACAGGTGGGTGAGCTACATACATAAGACAGGTGGGTGAGCAACATAGACAGGTGGGTGAGCTACATACATAAGACAGGTGGGTGAGCTACATAGACAGGTGGGTGAGCTACATAGACAGGTGGGTGAGCTACATAGACAGGTGGGTGAGCTACATAGACAGGTGGGTGAGCTACATACATAAGACAGGTGGGTGAGCAACATAGACAGGTGGGTGAGCAACATACATAAGACAGGTGGGTGAGCTACATACATAAGACATGTGGGTGAGCAACATAGACAGGTGGGTGAGCAACATAGACAGGTGGGTGAGCAACATAGACAGGTGGGTGAGCTACATACATAAGACAGGTGGGTGAGCTACATACATAAGACAGGTGGGTGAGCAACATACATAAGACAGGTGGGTGAGCAACATAGACAGGTGGGTGAGCTACATACATAAGACAGGTGGGTGAGCAACATAGACAGGTGGGTGAGCTACATACATAAGACAGGTGGGTGAGCAACATACATAAGACAGGTGGGTGAGCAACATACATAAGACAGGTGGGTGAGCAACATAGACAGGTGGGTGAGCAACATACATAAGACAGGTGGGTGAGCTACATAGACAGGTGGGTGAGCTACATATATAAGACAGGTGGGTGAGCAACATAGACAGGTGGGTGAGCTACATACATAAGACAGGTGGGTGAGCTACATACATAAGACAGGTGGGTGAGCAACATAGACAGGTGGGTGAGCTACATACATAAGACAGGTAGGTGAGCTACATAGACAGGTGGGTGAGCTACATACATAAGACAGGTGGGTGAGCAACATAGACAGGTGGGTGAGCTACATACATAAGACAGGTGGGTGAGCTACATACATAAGACAGGTGGGTGAGCTACATACATAAGACAGGTGGGTGAGCAAAATACATAAGACAGGTGGGTGAGCAACATAGACAGGTGGGTGAGCTACATACATAAGACAGGTGGGTGAGCTACATACATAAGACAGGTGGGTGAGCAACATACATAAGACAGGTGGGTGAGCTACATACATAAGACAGGTGGGTGAGCTACATACATAAGACAGGTGGGTGAGGTACATAGACAGGTGGGTGAGCTACATAGACAGGTGGGTGAGCAACATACATAAGACAGGTGGGTGAGCAACATACATAAGACAGGTGGGTGAGCTACATACATAAGACAGGTGGGTGAGCAACATAGACAGGTGGGTGAGCTACATACATAAGACAGGTGGGTGAGCAACATAGACAGGTGGGTGAGCTACATACATAAGACAGGTGGGTGAGCTACATACATAAGACAGGTGGGTGAGCTACATAGACAGGTGGGTGAGCTACATACATAAGACAGGTGGGTGAGCAACATACATAAGACAGGTGGGTGAGCAACATACATAAGACAGGTGGGTGAGCAACATACATAAGACAGGTGGGTGAGCTACATAGACAGGTGGGTGAGCAACATATACAGGTGGGTGAGCTACATACATAAGACAGGTGGGTGAGCTACATAGACAGGTGGGTGAGCAACATAGACAGGTGGGTGAGCTACATACATAAGACAGGTGGGTGAGCAACATACATAAGACAGGTTGGTGACTAACATAGACAGGTGGGTGAGCAACATACATAAGACAGGTGGGTGAGCTACATACATAAGACAGGTGGGTGAGCTACATAGACAGGTGGGTCCAACATAGACAGGTGGGTGAGCAACATAGACAGGTGGGTGAGCAACATACATAAGACAGGTGGGTGAGCAACATAGACAGGTGGGTCCAACATAGACAGGTGGGTGAGCTACATACATAAGACAGGTGGGTGAGCTACATAGACAGGTGGGTCCAACATAGACAGGTGGGTGAGCAACATAAACAGGTGGGTGAGCTACATACATAAGACAGGTGGGTGAGCTACATACATAAGACAGGTGGGTGAGCTACATAGACAGGTGGGTGAGCAACATACATAAGACAGGTGGGTGAACAACATAGACAGGTGGGTGAGCTACATACATAAGACAGGTGGGTGAGCTACATACATAAGACAGGTGGGTGAGCTACATAGACAGGTGGGTGAGCAACATAGACAGGTGGGTCCAACATAGACAGGTGGGTGAGCAACATAAACAGGTGGGTGAGCTACATACATAAGACAGGTGGGTGAGCTACATAGACAGGTGGGTGAGCAACATAAACAGGTGGGTGAGCTACATACATAAGACAGGTGGGTGAGCTACATAGACAGGTGGGTGAGCAACATACATAAGACAGGTGGGTGAACAACATAGACAGGTGGGTGAGCTACATACATAAGACAGGTGGGTGAGCTACATACATAAGACAGGTGGGTGAGCTACATAGACAGGTGGGTGAGCAACATACATAAGACAGGTGGGTGAGCAACATAGACAGGTGGGTGAGCAACATAGACAGGTGGGTGAGCAACATACATAAGACAGGTGGGTGAGCAACATAGACAGGTGGGTGAGCAACATACATAAGACAGGTGGGTGAGCAACATAGACAGGTGGGTGAGCTACGTAGACAGGTGGGTGAGCTACATACATAAGACAGGTGGGTGAGCAACATAGACAGGTGGGTGAGCAACATAGACAGGTGGGTGAGCAACATACATAAGACAGGTGGGTGAGCTACATACATAAGACAGGTGGGTGAGCTACATAGACAGGTGGGTGAGCAACATAGACAGGTGGGTGAGCAACATACATAAGACAGGTGGGTGAGCTACATACATAAGACAGGTGGGTGAGCAACATAGACAGGTGGGTGAGCAACATACATAAGACAGGTGGGTGAGCTACATACATAAGACAGGTGGGTGAGCTACATACATAAGACAGGTGGGTGAGTAACATAGACAGGTGGGTGAGCAACATAGACAGGTGGGTGAGCAACATACATAAGACAGGTGGGTGAGCAACATAGACAGGTGGGTGAGCAACATACATAAGACAGGTGGGTGAGCTACATACATAAGACAGGTGGGTGAGCAACATACATAAGACAGGTGGGTGAGCAACATACATAAGACAGGTGGGTGAGCAACATACATAAGACAGGTGGGTGAGCAACATAGACAGGTGGGTGAGCAACATAGACAGGTGGGTGAGCAACATAGACAGGTTTGGTGAGCTACATACATAAGACAGGTGGGTGAGCTACATAGACAGGTGGGTGAGTAACATAGACAGGTGGGTGAGCTACATACATAAGACAGGTGGGTGAGCAACATAGACAGGTGGGTGAGCTACATAGACAGGTGGGTGAGCAACATACATAAGACAGGTGGGTGAGCTACATACATAAGACAGGTGGGTGAGCAACATACATAAGACAGGTGGGTGAGCAACATACATAAGACAGGTGGGTGAGCTACATACATAAGACAGGTGGGTGAGCTACATACATAAGACAGGTGGGTGAGCTACATAGACAGGTGGGTGAGCAACATACATAAGACAGGTGGGTGAGCTACATACATAAGACAGGTGGGTGAGCTACATAGACAGGTGGGTGAGCAACATACATAAGACAGGTGGGTGAGCAACATACATAAGACAGGTGGGTGAGCAACATACATAAGACAGGTGGGTGAGCTACATACATAAGACAGGTGGGTGAGCTACATAGACAGGTGGGTGAGTAACATAGACAGGTGGGTGAGCAACATAGACAGGTGGGTGAGCTACATACATAAGACAGGTGGGTGAGCAACATACATAAGACAGGTGGGTGAGCAACATACATAAGACAGGTGGGTGAGCTACATACATAAGACAGGTGGGTGAGCAACATACATAAGACAGGTGGGTGAGCAACATACATAAGACAGGTGGGTGAGTAACATACATAAGACAGGTGGGTGAGCTACATACATAAGACAGGTGGGTGAGCAACATACATAAGACAGGTGGGTGAGCAACATAGACAGGTGGGTGAGCTACATACATAAGACAGGTGGGTGAGCAACATACATAAGACAGGTGGGTGAGCAACATACATAAGACAGGTGGGTGAGCTACATACATAAGACAGGTGGGTGAGCAACATAGACAGGTGGGTGAGCTACATACATAAGACAGGTGGGTGAGCAACATACATAAGACAGGTGGGTGAGCAACATACATAAGACAGGTGGGTGAGCTACATACATAAGACAGGTGGGTGAGCAACATACATAAGACAGGTGGGTGAGCAACATACATAAGACAGGTGGGTGAGTAACATACATAAGACAGGTGGGTGAGCTACATACATAAGACAGGTGGGTGAGCAACATACATAAGACAGGTGGGTGAGCTACATACATAAGACAGGTGGGTGAGCTACATACATAAGACAGGTGGGTGAGCAACATACATAAGACAGGTGGGTGAGCTACATAGACAGGTGGGTGAGTAACATACATAAGACAGGTGGGTGAGCAACATAGACAGGTGGGTGAGCTACATACATAAGACAGGTGGGTGAGCTACATACATAAGACAGGTGGGTGAGCTACATACATAAGACAGGTGGGTGAGCAACATACATAAGACAGGTGGGTGAGCTACATACATAAGACAGGTGGGTGAGCTACATACATAAGACAGGTGGGTGAGCAACATACATAAGACAGGTGGGTGAGCTACATACATAAGACAGGTGGGTGAGCAACATACATAAGACAGGTGGGTGAGCTACATACATAAGACAGGTGGGTGAGCAACATACATAAGACAGGTGGGTGAGCTACATACATAAGACAGGTGGGTGAGCAACATAGACAGGTGGGTGAGCTACATACATAAGACAGGTGGGTGAGCAACATACATAAGACAGGTGGGTGAGCTACATAGACAGGTGGGTGAGCAACATAGACAGGTGGGTGAGCAACATACATAAGACAGGTGGGTGAGCTACATACATAAGACAGGTGGGTGAGCTACATACATAAGACAGGTGGGTGAGCAACATAGACAGGTGGGTGAGCTACATACATAAGACAGGTGGGTGAGCTACATACATAAGACAGGTGGGTGAGCTACATACATAAGACAGGTGGGTGAGCTACATAGACAGGTGGGTGAGCAACATAGACAGGTGGGTGAGCTACATACATAAGACAGGTGGGTGAGCAACATAGACAGGTGGGTGAGCTACATAGACAGGTGGGTGAGCTACATACATAAGACAGGTGGGTGAGCAACATACATAAGACAGGTGGGTGAGCAACATACATAAGACAGGTGGGTGAGCAACATAGACAGGTGGGTGAGCTACATAGACAGGTGGGTGAGCAACATAGACAGGTGGGTGAGCTACATAGACAGGTGGGTGAGCAACATAGACAGGTGGGTGAGCTACATAGACAGGTGGGTGAGCAACATAGACAGGTGGGTGAGCTACATAGACAGGTGGGTGAGCTACATAGACAGGTGGGTGAGTAACATACATAGGACAGGTGGGTGAGCAACATACATAAGACAGGTGGGTGAGCAACATAGACAGTTGGGTGAGCTACATAGACAGGTGGGTGAGCTACATACATAAGACAGGTGGGTGAGCAACATACATAAGACAGGTGGGTGAGCAACATAGACAGGTGGGTGAGCTACATACATAAGACAGGTGGGTGAGCTACATACATAAGACAGGTGGGTGAGCTACATACATAAGACAGGTGGGTGAGCTACATACATAAGACATGTGGGTGAGCAACATACATAAGACAGGTGGGTGAGCTACATACATAAGACAGGTGGGTGAGCTACATAGACAGGTGGGTGAGCAACATACATAAGACAGGTGGGTGAGCAACATACATAAGACAGGTGGGTGAGCAACATAGACAGGTGGGTGAGCTACATACATAAGACAGGTGGGTGAGCTACATACATAAGACAGGTGGGTGAGCAACATACATAAGACAGGTGGGTGAGCTACATAGACAGGTGGGTGAGCTACGTAGACAGGTGGGTGAGCTACATACATAAGACAGGTGGGTGAGCAACATAGACAGGTGGGTGAGCTACATACATAAGACAGGTGGGTGAGCTACATACATAAGACAGGTGGGTGAGCAACATAGACAGGTGGGTGAGCTACATACATAAGACAGGTGGGTGAGCTACATACATAAGACAGGTGGGTGAGCAACATACATAAGACAGGTGGGTGAGCAACATAGACAGGTGGGTGAGCAACATAGACAGGTGGGTGAGCTACATACATAAGACAGGTGGGTGAGCAACATAGACAGGTGGGTGAGCTACATACATAAGACAGGTGGGTGAGCAACATACATAAGACAGGTGGGTGAGCTACATACATAAGACAGGTGGGTGAGCAACATACATAAGACAGGTGGGTGAGCAACATACATAAGACAGGTGGGTGAGCAACATACATAAGACAGGTGGGTGAGCTACATACATAAGACAGGTGGGTGAGCAACATAAACAGGTGGGTGAGCTACATACATAAGACAGGTGGGTGAGCTACATACATAAGACAGGTGGGTGAGCAACATAGACAGGTGGGTGAGCAACATAGACAGGTGGGTGAGCTACATACATAAGACAGGTGGGTGAGCAACATACATAAGACAGGTGGGTGAGCAACATAGACAGGTGGGTGAGCTACATACATAAGACAGGTGGGTGAGCAACATACATAAGACAGGTGGGTGAGCAACATAAACAGGTGGGTGAGCTACATACATAAGACAGGTGGGTGAGCTACATACATAAGACAGGTGGGTGAGCAACATAGACAGGTGGGTGAGCAACATAGACAGGTGGGTGAGCTACATACATAAGACAGGTGGGTGAGCAACATACATAAGACAGGTGGGTGAGCAACATAGACAGGTGGGTGAGCTACATACATAAGACAGGTGGGTGAGCAACATACATAAGACAGGTGGGTGAGCAACATAAACAGGTGGGTGAGCTACATACATAAGACAGGTGGGTGAGCTACATACATAAGACAGGTGGGTGAGCAACATAGACAGGTGGGTGAGCAACATAGACAGGTGGGTGAGCTACATAGACAGGTGGGTGAGTAACATAGACAGGTGGGTGAGCTACATACATAAGACAGGTGGGTGAGCAACATAGACAGGTGGGTGAGCTACATACATAAGACAGGTGGGTGAGCTATGGTTGTTGATAAAATATCAGACTTGAAGGTTTCTAGGAAACAAGTTTTTTGCATATACCATTAAACCTTTAGGCCATAATATAGAGTACACATATTAAAAGCTAATTTAAAGCCAATAATCAGCTGTTGTCCCCTCTTTCATGAAACATTGTTCTGTTGTTTTCAGCAATTGTACCGTAAGAAGCCAGGATTGACATTAAATGCAGCTCGGCTAGATTCCAATATCAACAAAAATAGATATAGAGATATATCACCATGTAAGATTTTGCTACTCGATTGTTTACATGAGCTAACAGTTAACATTGATAACGTTTAACGCACCATAGATTTTATTTGTGCTAAATCTTTATAACTTCATACATTTTTTATGTGCAAAATCTTCTCTATGATTTGATAGATTTTATTTGTGCTAAATCTTCTCTATGACTTGATATATTTTATTTGTGCTAAATCTTCTCTATGACTTGATAGATTTTATTTGTGCTAAATCTTCTCTATGACTTGATATATTTTATTTGTGCTAAATCTTCTCTATGACTTGATAGATTTTATTTGTGCTAAATCTTCTCTATGACTTGATAGATTTTATTTGTGCTAAATCTTCTCTATGACTTGATAGATTTTATTTGTGCTAAATCTTCTCTATGACTTGATAGATTTTATTTGTGCTAAATCTTCTCTATGACTTGATAGATTTTATTTGTGCTAAATCTTCTCTATGACTTGATAGATTTTATTTGTGCTAAATCTTCTCTATGACTTGATAGATTTTATTTGTGCTAAATCTTCTCTATGACTTGATAGATTTTATTTGTGCTAAATCTTCTCTATGACTTGATAGATTTTATTTGTGCTAAATCTTCTCTATGACAACTAATAAAAACTATTCCTCGAGCAGATGACCAAACAAGAGTTATTTTAAAAAGTGGAGCTACAGGGGATTACATAAATGCTAATTTTGTCAATGTAAGTGCACAATACTTTTAATGTTTTCATATTAGGGTTAGGGTTAGGGTTATTTCCTTAAGTGTTAATTACACTATCAAATAAATAGACACAAATTAAAAATGAATGACACTATTACCTTTGAAGCCTAAGTTTTTATATTTTTAAAAACAGTTTGCAATAAAAATTACATGTTTTTTATTCTTGTGAGTAACCTTAAATTACTGATTGGCTTTCATATAGAAATTAGCTGTAATGTGACAATATCTTGTCATTTAGCTGCAATGTGACAATATCCTGTCATTTCACTGGTACATAAAAGTTCTTAGAACCTTATGTTAGCAAATTTCTGTTTAACCTTTTATTTTATTACAACCATCTCATCTTGTATATATATGTACTATTTGTTCTTTTTAATATTTTTTAATATTTTTATTATTGAAATCAAGATTTTAACAAATCTCTATGTTTTACACTTACCCAAGTTGGAAAAACTTTGTTTTGCAATTTTGTCTGTATGTCTGAATAATTTTCCACTTATGTTGACCAAATTACATATATAAGTATTAAATCATATGTATAGTTCTGTTTCAAATTTTGAACGATTCCCTTTAACTGGAAGTGTTACTTCTGGTTTCTGAAAAGACAGTTATTTGAATATGTTTAAGTTAGGTGAATGAAATAACACATGAGCTGACCCGCGGCATATGGCGCTATTTAGTTGTTTTATTTTCTACTTTTCAGTAATTTATAAGTTGTGAATTCAACACTACCAATGCTGCGACTGAAAATATTTTGCTTCACTATCAGTAGCTTGTGAAGGACGATTATCCTCACCCTCCCTTCCTTCCCCCCCCCCCCCCATCTGGTGACAGTTTACAGGCGACAATGAAACGATCAAGCAGAACTTGTTATTACCTCCCCTTAGTTATCTAAATTATCTGTCCCTAATATCATTCACTAATTCAACTCGGCTCTATGATTGTAAACATTTGGCGTGAACCACAGCTCAACAGACTGGTAGGGTGGGGGTTAGAGAAAGTTCAATATAAACATTAGCTCAATTGCCGTATACAAATGTCATTATACTGTACTTATAGTGAGGGTACACATCTTGCATCATTGTATTAATTAGTCGCTAACTCATTATCTGTATGAAGTCTGGAATTTTTTGAAAAAGTCCGGAATTTCATTTTCAAAATAGTGTACGACCACTGTGTATACTTTTTTCAAACAAAATGGGAATTTTCGTAAAGGATAATACATTTAGTTTAATTTTATTCTTTACAGATTACGGCAAAAAAAATGATAAGTTGTAAAATGTAAATTGTTTTTTAAATTAATAAATATTGAGTTTTCCAAACAGCACTTCAGATTTTAGTACACTTTAAGAATATTAAACAATGGCGATCAAGTCGAGTTTTTTACTCTGTCCTGTGCATGTCATTCACAAGTCTGTCCTGCGCATGTCATTCACAAGTCTGTCCTGCGCATGTCATTCACAAGTCTGTCCTGCGCATGTCATTCACAAGTCTGTCCTGCGCATGTCATTCACAAGTCTGTCCTGCGCATGTCATTCACAAGTCTGTCCTGCGCATGTCATTCACAAGTCTGTCCTGCGCATGTCATTCACAAGTCTGTCCTGTGCATGTCATTCACAAGTCTGTCCTGCGCATGTCATTCACAAGTCTGTCCTGCGCATGTCATTCACAAGTCTGTCCTGTGCATGTCATTCACAAGTCTGTCCGCCCTCCTCAGAGTCCATTTGAGCTTTAAATATTTGGTACATAAGAAGATATATATCATTAAACTGTCTCACTCAATTGTAAATTTATTAAGAAAACCATTTCCTAATTAAGTAATTTAACCTATTTAATTGCAAAGTAAATCGATCATGAGACAATATATCACACAAATTACATTTTAACTTATTTTGGACCTTACGTAATCGTGTTTTTAAAACGTCTTATCTCATTTTTACTCCCCAAAAATGTGAAAAAAGTAACTTTGATTATGGTAAGCCGGTCAAAAGTATTAAAACACGTAGGTGTGATATATATTATGGTTTCCCTTGATTGTTTTAGTCTTATACTTATATATATATATATATATATATATATATATATATATATATATATATATATATATATATATATATATATATATTTTCATATATATGTATTATTTTTAAATCTATATTTTCTATATATATAAAATTCTCTTCATGGGGACCATGCGGGACAAGATGTAGATGCACGCCATTACTCCCCCGCTCTCCCGGCATATCGCTACCACCCCCACCCCCACCAACCTGGTCAGCTTTGTTCCACGACTAATGTTTACAATGGACTAATGTTTACAATCGACTAATGTTTACAATTGACTAATGTTTACAATCGACTAATGTCTACAATCGACTAATGTTAACAATTGACTAATGTTTACAATCGTTGTGTCGAATTCAAAAATTATGAATTGCTGATAAGCAGAAAATAAAAAAAAACTAGATAGCAGCTTATGCTACATTGTAGGTCGGCTTGTATACATATAATTCTCTTCATGGACAAGATGATGCAAGCCGACTATCTAACCCTCCTCCCACCCCCTATCTCGCTCTCTGGTGAGCTGTGGTTCACCGCGAATGTTTACAGTCATAGAGTTGGGTCAAATTAGTGATGGCTATTAGGGGCAGATAATTTAGCTTTTAAACTCTTTGAAACTAAGGGGGGGTAAGAAGTTCTGCTTGATCTTTTCATTGTCGTCTCTAAACTGTTGTAACTGACGGCTGCTTTCAGGGGGTGGGGGCTAGTGTCGAATTCACAAATTATGAATTACTATAAAGTAGAAAGAAAACAACTAAAGAATTCGCAAATTATGAATTACTATAAAGTAGAAAGAAAACAACTAAAGAATTCACAAATTATGAATTACTATAAAGTAGAAAGAACACAACTAAATAATTCGCAAATTATGAATTACTATAAAGTAGAAAGAAAACAACTAAAGAATTCACAAATATGAATTATTATAAAGTAGAAAGAAAACAACTAAAGAATTCACAAATATGAATTACTATAAAGTAGAAAGAAAACAACTAAAGAATTCACAAATATGAATTACTATAAAGTAGAAAGAAAACAACTAAAGAATTCACAAATATGAATTACTATAAAGTAGAAAGAAAACAACTAAAGAATTCACAAATATGAATTACTATTAAGTAGAAAGAACACAACTAAATAATTCGCAAATTATGAATTACTATAAAGTAGAAAGAAAACAACTAAAGAATTCACAAATATGAATTATTATAAAGTAGAAAGAAAACAACTAAAGAATTCACAAATATGAATTACTATAAAGTAGAAAGAAAACAACTAAAGAATTCACAAATATGAATTACTATAAAGTAGAAAGAAAACAACTAAAGAATTCACAAATATGAATTACTATAAAGTAGAAAGAAAACAACTAAAGAATTCACAAATATGAATTACTATAAAGTAGAAAGAAAACAACTAAAGAATTCACAAATATGAATTACTATAAAGTAGAAAGAAAACAACTAAAGAATTCACAAATTATGAATTACTATAAAGTAGAAAGAACACAACTAAATAATTCGCAAATTATGAATTACTATAAAGTAGAAAGAAAACAACTAAAGAATTCACAAATATGAATTATTATAAAGTAGAAAGAAAACAACTAAAGAATTCACAAATATGAATTACTATAAAGTAGAAAGAAAACAACTAAAGAATTCACAAATATGAATTACTATAAAGTAGAAAGAAAACAACTAAAGAATTCACAAATATGAATTACTATAAAGTAGAAAGAAAACAACTAAAGAATTCACAAATATGAATTACTATTAAGTAGAAAGAAAACAACTAAAGAATTCACAAATATGAATTACTATAAAGTAGAAAGAAAACAACTAAAGAATTCACAAATATGAATTACTATAAAGTAGAAAGAAAACAACTAAAGAATTCGCAAATTATGAATTACTATAAAGTAGAAAGAAAACAACTAAAGAATTCACAAATATGAATTACTATAAAGTAGAAAGAAAACAACTAAAAAATTCACAAATATGAGTTACTATAAAGTAGAAAGACAACAACTAAAGAATTCACAAATATGAATTACTATAAAGTAGAAAGAAAACAACTAAATAGCGGCGTATGCCTACGGCAAGGGTCAGCTTGTAATATTGATTATTAATAATAATAATTTTTGACTTGTTTCTTTTTATCGTTGAGACATTCTTTAGGATGCCTTCATTTAATAATAATTAAGAAAAGAGATTGCTTTTTTATTTGCTTAGTACAAAACTATTAAAATGAGCTTTTTTGGGCACTCCTATTAGACTATTTAAACAGGAGCGATAAGTCATGGAAGTGTGGTTTGAAGGTTGCCAATATTTCACACTACAGCTCATGTAGTTTTTTTTTTGTCTATGCAACTGTGTTTGTTACTGTAGAACAATCACTGCTGTAGTAGATTTTTTTTTCTATAAAACCACTAGTCTATCAAAGTGCAAAAAAATTGTTTTTGGGTCGGATTGTGGGTCCCCTAAACGACCTGCCTCCCACCCCCTTCCCGTGTTGCGGGATGTGGGTAGTTCCACCACTGATGTATGAAATTTGGTCAACCTAGCAGTAGCTTTACTTAGGTTATCGTATTTACAGTGTATTTAGGTCCAATGGTGTTCTAACTAAATCATAATAGTTTATATAAAGCATCCCTGGTATGTCTTCACATTTTTTAACTTTTCTCTTGTACAGTTATAAGTTAGTGAACAACATTCATTCAAGTAAAATTTTTCTCTTCAGATGGAAATCCCTGGCTCAGGTATTATCAACCGCTACATAGCTGCTCAAGGTCCATTACCCAACACCTGTAATGATTTCTGGCAGGTAGGTTAAACATTACCCAACACCTGTTATGATTTCTGGCAGGTAGGTTAAACATTACCCAACACCTGTAATGATTTCTGGCAGGTAGGTTAAACATTACCCAACACCTGTTATGATTTCTGGCAGGTAGGTTAAACATTACCCAACACCTGTAATGATTTCTGGCAGGTAGGTTAAACATTACCCAACACCTGTTATGATTTCTGGCAGGTAGGTTAAACATTACCCAACACCTGTTATGATTTCTGGCAGGTAGGTTAAACATTACCCAACACCTGTAATGATTTCTGGCAGGTAGGTTAAACATTACCCAACACCTGTTATGATTTCTGGCAGGTAGGTTAAACATTACCCAACACCTGTAATGATTTCTGGCAGGTAGGTTTAAGTGTTTTTACAAGTATCTGCCTAGTTGAATTGCTTCAAGTGTCAGACCTTATGGAATTTATGTCACTATCTTAGTAGAATTGTTGAAAGCCCTATTGCCTGTTGTTGCAGTGATCTGATTGTGAGAAGTTTTAATTGCAGATGGTCTGGGAACAGCACACATCTTTAGTTGTCATGCTGACCACCAAGGTAGAGAGAGGTCGTGTTAAATGCCATCAGTATTGGCCTCAGCTCTACGAGACAGAAGACTTTGGAGCCATCCAGATTACGTGTGTCAAAGAAGAAGAGACTCACTCGTTTGCGTTTAGAGAATTTAATTTAACTCATGTGGAGACGAGTGAAGAGCGCCACATTCGCCACATGCAGTACATAGCTTGGCCTGACCATGGCGTACCTGATGATCCCAGTGATTTCCTCAATTTTGTTGTGCGTGTACGACACAACAGAGACGGCATGGTAGAACCCACTGTTGTCCACTGCAGGTCACTCATTTCTAGCATTAATAATAATGTCTGTATGACACAAAATAATTTCTATCAGTAAAATCTTTGTTAAACATTGTCCTTTTCACTAATTGAACTCATCTATACAATTCATATATTAGTGACATATTTGCACTGCACATTCTCTTAACAATCCATAATAGAATTGTATGACTAAGGGTAATATAGACAGGATAAGTTTATGCATTATTGGTAAAGATTATTTATACTTTATTAAGGTTAGGGTTAAGTACAGCTCTTTCCATTACTAGCATCAAACTGTAAATGTATAGGTCTTTCCATTCTTAGCTCACATCAAACTGTGAATGTACAGGTCTTTCCATTCTTAGCTTCCCATCAAACTGTGAATATACAGGTCTTTCCATTCTTAGCATCAAACTATGAATGTACAGGTCTTTCCATTCTTAGCTTCCCATCAAACTGTGAATATACAGGTCTTTCCATTCTTAGCATCAAACTGTGAATGTACAGGTCTTTCCATTCTTAGCATCAAACTGTGAATGTACAGGTCTTTCCATTCTTAGCATCAAACTGTGAATGTACAGGTCTTTCCATTCTTAGCATCAAACTGTGAATGTACAGGTCTTTCCATTCTTAGCATCAAACTGTGAATGTACAGGTCTTTCCATTCTTAGCATCTAACTGTGAATGTACAGGTCTTTCCATTCTTAGCATCAAACTGTGAATGTACAGGTCTTTCCATTCTTAGCATCAAACTGTGAATGTACAGGTCTTTCCATTCTTAGCATCAAACTGTGAATGTACAGGTCTTTCCATTCTTAGCTTCCCATCAAACTGTGAATGTACAGGTCTTTCCATTCTTAGCATCAAACTGTGAATGTACAGGTCTTTCCATTCTTAGCATCAAACTGTGAATGTACAGGTCTTTCCATTCTTAGCATCAAACTGTGAATGTACAGGTCTTTCCATTCTTAGCATCAAACTGTGAATGTACAGGTCTTTCCATTCTTAGCTCACATCAAACTGTAAATGCATAGGTCTTTCCATTCTTAGCTCACATCAAACTGTAAATGTATAGGTCTTTCCATTCTTAGCTCACATCAAACTGTAAATGTACAGGTCTTTCCATTCTTTGCCTCACCCAATCCTCACCCAACCCTCACCCAACCCTCACCTACCCTCACCCAACCCTTACCTAACCCTCACCTCCCCTCACCCAACCCTTACCTAACCCTCACCTCCCCTCACCCAACCTTTATCTAACCCTCACCTCCCCTCACCCAACCCTCTCCCAACCCTCACCCAACCCTCACCTACCCTCACCCAACTCTTACCTAACCCTCACCTCCCCTCACCCAACCCTTACCTAACCCTCACCTCCCCTCACCCAACCCTCTCCCAACCCTCACCGAACCCTTTCCTAACCCTCACCTAACCCTCACCCAACCCTCACCCAACCCTTTCCTAACCGTCACCCAACCCTCACCCAACCCTCACCTACCCTCACCCAACCCTCACCCAACCCTCTTCTAACCCTCACCCAACCCTCACCAACCCTTACCTAACCCTCACCTCCCCTCACCCAACCCTCACCCAACCCTCACCTACCCCTCACCCCCCAACCCTCACCTACCCCTCACCCAACCTTCACCTACCCCTCACCCAACCCTCTTCTAACCCTCACCCAACCCTCACCCAACCCTCACCTACCCCTCACCCAACCCTCACCTACCCCTCACCACCCCTCACCCAACCCTCACCTAACCCTCACCCAACCCTCACCTACCCTCACCAACCCTCACCTACCCTCACCCAACCCTCACCCAACCCTCACCTACCCTCACCCAACCCTCACCCAACCCTCACCTACCCTCACCTAACCCTCACCTACCCTCACCTACCCTCACCCAACCCTCACCTACCCTCACCTACCCTCACCCAACCCTCACCCAACCCTCACCTACCCTCACCCAACCCTCACCTACCCTCACCAACCCTCACCTACCCTCACCTAACCCTCACCTACCCTCACCCAACCCTCACCCAACCCTCACCTACCCTCACCTACCCTCACCCAACCCTCACCCAACCCTCACCTACCCTCACCCAACCCTCACCTACCCTCACCAACCCTCACCTACCCTCACCTAACCCTCACCTACCCTCACCCAACCCTCACCTACCCTCACCCAACCCTCACCCAACCGCACCTACCCTCACCCAACCCTCACCCAACCCTCACCTACCCTCACCCAACCCTCACCCAACCTTCACCTACCCTCACCAACCCTCACCTACCCTCACCTACCCTCACCTACCCTCACCTACCCCCCACCCAACCCTCACCTACCCTCACCCAACCCTCACCTACCCTCACCCAACCCTCACCTACCCTCACCTACCCTCACCCAACCCTCACCTACCCTCACCCAACCCTCACACAACCCTCACCAACCCTCACCCAACCCTCACCTACCCTCACACAACCCTCACACAACCCTCACCCAACCCTCACCCAACCCTCACCAACCCTCACCCAACCCTCACCTAACCCTCACCTACCCCTCACCTACCCTCACCAACCCTCACCCAACCCTCACCCAACCCTCACCTACCCTCACCTACCCTCACCTACCCTCACCTACCCTCACCCAACCCTCACCCAACCCTTACCTACCCTCACCCAACCCTCACCAACCCTCACCCAACCCTCACCTAACCCTCACCTACCCCTCACCTACCCTCACCAACCCTCACCCAACCCTCACCTACCCTCACCCAACCCTCACCCAACCCTCACCCAACCCTCACCTACCCTCACCCAACCCTCACCCAACCCTCACCTACCCTCACCTACCCTCACCTACCCTCACCTACCCTCACCTACCCTCACCCAACCCTCACCTACCCTCACCTACCCTCACGCAACCCTCACGCAACCCTCACCTACCCTCACCTACCCTCACCCAACCCTCACCTACCCTCACCTACCCTCACCCAACCCTCACCCAACCCTCACCTACCCTCACCCAACCCTCACCTACCCTCACCTACCCTCACCCAACCCTCACCCAACCCTCACCCAACCCTCACCTACCCTCACCCAACCCTCACCTACCCTCACCTACCCTCACCCAACCCTCACCCAACCCTCACCTACCCTCACCCAACCCTCACCTACCCTCACCCAACCCTCACCTACCCTCACCCAACCCTCACCTACCCTCACCCAACCCTCACCCAACCCTCACCCAACCCTCACCAACCCTCACCAACCCTCACCAACCCTCACCAACCCTCACCCAACCCTCACCCAACCCTCACCCAACCCTCACCTACCCTCACACAACCCTCACCAACCCTCACCCAACCCTCACCCAACCCTCACCAACCCTCACCAACCTAAACCTTGAATTTACAGTGCTGGCATTGGTAGGACAGGAGTGCTCATCACCATGGAAACCGCAATGTGTCTTATTGAATCCAGCCAACCAGTTGACCCCCTGAGTATTGTCAGACAAATGAGAGACCAGCGTGCTATGCTCATTCAAACATCTGTAAGTTAGATTTCTACTCTCATTCAAACATCTGTAAGTTAGATTTCTACTCTCATTCTAACATCTGTAAGTTAGATTTCTACTCTCATTCAAACATCTGTAAGTTAGATCACCACATTGGGGCGGATATTTCTTCAGCGCACCGCACTGCCCGCAGGTGTTGGTAGCCCTTTGGTGCGAATATGGATATTCACAAAAATTAAATTACAGTAAAAAAAAAAATTGAGAGCCAACGCTGTCATGAACATCCGCCCAGACATCTCCCCTCCCCGAACCCAAGGCTTCATTTAAACCTCCGCCAAACAACACGTTTTCTTGGCCGTCCATGCCCAGGGAGAGACTTCCAAAATCTATAGCGATGACGGACTGACACACTACCACCAGCGTTATATTTTATATATATATATATATATATATATATATATATATATATATATATATATATATATATGTAAATGGGGGGATGACTTTTTTACGGGGTGGCCTTTTTTTCTAGTTCCACCACAGACTGAAAGACAGAGCCATTATTTACATAGCTACAGCCCAAACTGGGAGCCAGAGATAGAAAGTGTAGACAGAGTAGTTGAGTGATCAGTCCTATGGGTTAGATGAGACAGAGTAGTTGAGTGATCAGTCCTATGGGTTAGATGAGACAGAGTAGTTGAGTGATCAGTCCTATGGTTAGATGAGACAGAGTAGTTGAGTGATCAGTCCTATGGTTAGATGAGACAGAGTAGTTGAGTGATCAGTCCTAGGGTTAGATGAGACAGAGTAGTTGAGTGATCAGTCCTAGGGTTAGATGAGACAGAGTAGTTGAGTGATCAGTCCTAGGGTTAGATGAGACAGAGTAGTTGAGTGATCATTCCTAGGGTTAGATGAGACAGAGTAGTTGAGTGATCAGTCCTAGGGTTAGATGAGACAGAGTAGTTGAGTGATCAGTCCTATGGGTTAGATGAGACAGAGTAGTTGAGTGATCAGTCCTAGGGTTAGATGAGACAGAGTAGTTGAGTGATCAGTCCTAGGGTTAGATGAGACAGAGTAGTTGAGTGATCAGTCCTATGGTTAGATGAGACAGAGTAGTTGAGTGATCAGTCCTATGGTTAGATGAGACAGAGTAGTTGAGTGATCAGTCCTAGGGTTAGATGAGACAGAGTAGTTGAGTGATCATTCCTAGGGTTAGATGAGACAGAGTAGTTGAGTGATCAGTCCTAGGGTTAGATGAGACAGAGTAGTTGAGTGATCAGTCCTATGGGTTAGATGAGACAGAGTAGTTGAGTGATCAGTCCTAGGGTTAGATGAGACAGAGTAGTTGAGTGATCAGTCCTAGGGTTAGATGAGACAGAGTAGTTGAGTGATCAGTCCTAGGGTTAGATGAGACAGAGTAGTTGAGTGATCAGTCCTAGGGTTAGATGAGACAGAGTAGTTGAGTGATCAGTCCTAGGGTTAGATGAGACAGAGTAGTTGAGTGATCAGTCCTAGGGTTAGATGAGACAGAGTAGTTGAGTGATCAGTCCTAGGGTTAGATGAGACAGAGTAGTTGAGTGATCAGTCCTAGGGTTAGATGAGACAGAGTAGTTGAGTGATCAGTCCTAGGGTTAGATGAGACAGAGTAGTTGAGTGATCAGTCCTAGGGTTAGATGAGACAGAGTAGTTGAGTGATCAGTCCTAGGGTTAGATGAGACAGAGTAGTTGAGTGATCAGTCCTAGGGTTAGATGAGACAGAGTAGTTGAGTGATCAGTCCTAGAGTTAGATGAGACAGTAGTTGAGTGATCAGTCCTAGGGTTAGATAAGACAGTGTAGTTGAGTGATCAGTCCTAGGGTTAGATGAGACAGAGTAGTTGAGTGATCAGTCCTAGAGTTAGATGAGACAGTAGTTGAGTGATCAGTCCTAGGGTTAGATGAGACAGAGTAGTTGAGTGATCAGTCCTAGGGGTTAGATAAGACAGAGTAGTTGAGTGATCAGTCCTAGGGTTAGATGAGACAGAGTAGTTGAGTGATCAGTCCTATGGGTTAGATGAGACAGAGTAGTTGAGTGATCAGTCCTAGGGTTAGATAAGACAGAGTAGTTGAGTGATCAGTCCTAGGGTTAGATGAGACAGAGTAGTTGAGTGATCAGTCCTATGGGTTAGATAAGACAGAGTAGTTGAGTGATCAGTCCTAGGGTTAGATGAGACAGAGTAGTTGAGTGATCAGTCCTATGGGTTAGATAAGACAGAGTAGTTGAGTGATCAGTCCTAGGGTTAGATGAGACAGAGTAGTTGAGTGATCAGTCCTATGGGTTAGATAAGACAGAGTAGTTGAGTGATCAGTCCTAGGGTTAGATGAGACAGAGTAGTTGAGTGATCAGTCCTATGGGTTAGATGAGACAGAGTAGTTGAGTGATCAGTCCTAGGGTTAGATGAGAGAGAGTAGTTGAGTGATCAGTCCTAGGGTTAGATGAGACAGAGTAGTTGAGTGATCAGTCCTAGGGGTTAGATAAGACAGAGTAGTTGAGTGATCAGTCCTAGGGGTTAGATAAGACAGAGTAGTTGAGTGATCAGTCCTAGGGTTAGATGAGACAGAGTAGTTGAGTGATCAGTCCTATGGGTTAGATGAGACAGAGTAGTTGAGTGATCAGTCCTATGGGTTAGATGAGACAGAGTAGTTGAGTGATCAGTCCTAGGGTTAGATAAGACAGAGTAGTTGAGTGATCAGTCCTAGGGTTAGATGAGACAGAGTAGTTGAGTGATCAGTCCTAGGGTTAGATGAGACAGAGTAGTTGAGTGATCAGTCCTAGGGTTAGATGAGACAGAGTAGTTGAGTGATCAGTCCTAGGGTTAGATGAGACAGAGTAGTTGAGTGATCAGTCCTAGGGTTAGATGAGACAGAGTAGTTGAGTGATCAGTCCTATGGGTTAGATGAGACAGAGTAGTTGAGTGATCAGTCCTAGGGTTAGATGAGACAGAGTAGTTGAGTGATCAGTCCTATGGGTTAGATGAGACAGAGTAGTTGAGTGATCAGTCCTATGGGTTAGATAAGACAGAGTAGTTGAGTGATCAGTCTTAGGGTTAGATAAGACAGAGTAGTTGTGTGATCAGTCCTATGGGTTAGATAAGACAGAGTAGTTGAGTGATCAGTCCTAGGGTTAGATGAGACAGAGTAGTTGAGTGATCAGTCCTAGGGTTAGATGAGACAGAGTAGTTGAGTGATCAGTCCTATGGGTTAGATGAGACAGAGTAGTTGAGTGATCAGTCCTATGGGTTAGATAAGACAGAGTAGTTGAGTGATCAGTCCTAGGGTTAGATAAGACAGAGTAGTTGAGTGATCAGTCCTATGGGTTAGATAAGACAGAGTAGTTGAGTGATCAGTCCTAGGGTTAGATGAGACAGAGTAGTTGAGTGATCAGTCCTAGGGTTAGATGAGACAGAGTAGTTGAGTGATCAGTCCTAGGGTTAGATGAGACAGAGTAGTTGAGTGATCAGTCCTATGGGTTAGATAAGACAGAGTAGTTGAGTGATCAGTCCTAGGGTTAGATAAGACAGAGTAGTTGAGTGATCAGTCCTATGGGTTAGATAAGACAGAGTAGTTGAGTGATCAGTCCTAGGGTTAGATAAGACAGAGTAGTTGAGTGATCAGTCCTATGGGTTAGATAAGACAGAGTAGTTGAGTGATCAGTCCTATGGGTTAGATGAGACAGAGTAGTTGAGTGATCAGTCCTAGGGTTAGATGAAACAGAGTAGTTGAGTGATCAGTCCTATGGGTTAGATAAGACAGAGTAGTTGAGTGATCAGTCCTATGGGTTAGATGAGACAGAGTAGTTGAGTGATCAGTCCTAGGGTTAGATAAGACAGAGTAGTTGAGTGATCAGTCCTAGGGTTAGATGAGACAGAGTAGTTGAGTGATCAGTCCTAGGGTTAGATGAGACAGAGTAGTTGAGTGATCAGTCCTTGGGTTAGATGAGACAGAGTAGTTGAGTGATCAGTCCTAGGGTTAGATGAGACAGTAGTTGAGTGATCAGTCAATCGTGCCTTAACACTCGAGATCGTTGGGACATCACAGTTGATGTTCTGATAATTGCTGCCAGTCCAGTCTGCCCCTTGGTCTCCGCTATACAATGTCATCTTTATCTCCCCCCTCCTGGCACATTGCCCTGTATTTGATTGGCCCTTGGCTTGAGTGGCATGCCCTTACCATCTCAGTTGTTGAGTTATGACTCTGTTTAATCTCAAATGGACCATACCCATTGTTGATCTTTTCATCAACCTCTTCATTTGTAATGTGATCTCTGTATCATATACTATATATGTATATATTAAATATGCATTTTATATGTAGACATGTATATATAAATGATGGAAAACAATTGAACCCCCCCCCCTCCACCCCCAAAGAGACAATCCTGGCTATGCCACTGGTTAGGATTAATTAATAAGAAAATAATAATGATTCTTATCAGAATTTGAACTGAATTAAAGAAATAAGTATCTTTTGTAGCCATTTCTGTAGGATGTAATGAGCACTGTGTTAAATTACTTATCAGCCTATTGAGATAGTGGCAGTGGTTTTCTTTTTAATCCGTCAATGCCATTAAGCACTGGATAATGACAATGTCTTAAAATATTTAGACCTAAACCTTAGCAAATGTAAACATTCTTTAGTCGGCACTGAATGATGACAATGTCTTAAAATATTTAGACCTAAACTTTAGCAAATGTAAACATTCTTTAGTCAGCACTGAATGATGACAATGTCTTCAAATATTTAGACCTAAACCTTAGCAAATGTAAACATTCTTTAGTCGGCACTGAATGATGACAATGTCTTAAAATATTTAGACCTAAACTTTAGCAAATGTAAACATTCTTTAGTCGGCACTGAATGATGACAATGTCTTCAAATATTTAGACCTAAACCTTAGCAAATGTAAACATTCTTTAGTCGGCACTGAATGATGACAATGTGTTCCACTCTGCCATCTGACCTGAAAAAAAAACACCTCAGCCCAGACACCGACCTAAAT